ATTTAAAAGAAGGATAGATGAGGTGCTTAGGGACATGGTTTAGTGGTGGGATGGCAGGGTTAGGTTAAAGGTTGGACTCGATGATCTCAAATGTCTTTTCCAACCAAAGTGATTCTATGATTCTTCAGGTGTTGTAACACCTCAGATCACTTCTTTAAAGGACTTAATGGGAAAGAATATGGCTATTATCTGATGTAAATAAGATACAGGGATGACATACTGTTACCAGTTGTCAATGATAACAGCGTATGGCCAGCTCTTAAATTGATCTAATAGAGGAAGTGTAACATTTAACACTTGAAGGGTTTTGGCCACAGAAACATACCCAAAGCCTGCCCCCATCGAGAGGACTGAAACAGGCCATAGATGGATCATCTAGAGGAGAAAGTGTTTAAGTGTATCCACTTGACTTTCCTCTGATTGTGTTTGTAATTCTGACAGTGTTTATTAGTGACTTGGAAACAAAGCAAATGACTGAGAAGGCAAAACCACTGCCACTCCGTACGCCACCACTAGTCTGAGCCGTTGAGCAGGGAGTGCCTCTACAGACGCTCCTCTCCAAAGAGAACATTACTTTTTATAAAGCTTACCTTTATGTTTGCAGTACTTCCAGACATAGAACACACATAGCTCATCACACTTGTCTTCTTTATTGTCCTTTGAAGCTTTAGCAGAGGAATGGTCTTTTTTATCTACAGGAAAGAACACATCAGACCTTATTTGCCCTAACAAAATACAAGTCTAAGAGAATGACATTGCAATTGGTATTTCATCCCAAAAATAACAAAAGAGGTGACTACAGTAGCCCAGTCAAGCGCTTTTCAGGATCCAATTATCCCCCATACAGCCCACTGCAGGAGTTAGGGCTTTGTGACTGACCAATAAACCCCTACAATGGAAGAAGGCTCAGCAGAGATGGCCAACAGCCATCTGTCTGTGAAGCTCAGAGAGTAACACAGGGTGTGACTGACCACAGCTCTTGCAGAGAAGCTGGCTTTGTCTCCACGCAAAAGTGACCAGAGAGCAGCCTTTGTTGTAGAAAAATGGCTATGTCAGCTGGGTGGATCAAATGGTTGTATGTATGTTTCTCCTCAAGTTAGCCAGATCAGCATGGGGGCAGTGAATACAGGGCTCAGCCCAACATACCAGTATAAAAACTAAACGGCTAACGAAAGAATTTCAGAGAGCAACAGGCTTGACCTGGCTTCAACCCATGTATTCCTTCCCAGGGACTAGAGACACCCAGCGTCAGAATGGTGAGCATATTATACAGACCTGTAATGATGTCCTGGTTTTGGCTGGGATAAAGTTAATTTTCTTCCTAGCAGTTGGCATAGTGCTGTGTTTTGGATTAACACTAGAAGAATGTTGGTAACACACTGATGCTTTAGTTGTTGTTAAGTAGTGCCTAGACTACTCAAGGACTTTTTCAGCTTCCCAAGCTCTGCCAGGTACAGAAGAAGCTGGGAGGAGGGCACAGTCAGGAGAGCTGACCCCAACTGACCAAAGGGGTTTTCCAAATCAGATTAACATCATGCTCAGTGTATAAACTGGAGGGAGTTGGCTGGGGTGCAGCGGTCGCTTGGGGACCGCTTGGACAAGCTGGGCATCAGTCAGCAGGCGGTGAGCGGTTCCATCACTTTTTTTCCTGGGTTTTGTCTCTCTCTCCCCTGTTGTTTTCCTTTTTGTTACAATTTACTATCATTATTATATTTCAGTTATGAAACCGTTCTTATCTCAACCCACAAATTTTCTTACCTTTGCTCTTCCAATTCTCTCCCCCATCCCACAGGGGGATGGCAGGGATAGTGAGCGAGCAGCTGCGTGGTGCTTGGTTGCCGGCTGGGGCTAAACAACGACAAACAGCAATCACATTGGTATTGTGATTGAACCATGTATTGCAATGGCTATGTTTTGGTAAGCGTAACTTAACATTTGTATTGGTTTTTTAGTGTATTTTGCATCACTCCGCTACATCAGAAATCTCATTGTACTGGGCCTGGCTAGGATAGAGTTAATTTTCTTCATAGCAGCTCATATGATACCGTGGTTTAGATTTTTGATGAAAACAATGCTGATAACCCATTGATGCCCTAGCTTTTGCTGAACAGCATTTGCACAGCATCAAGGCCTTCTCTCTTTCTCACTCTGCCCCCACAGCAAATAGATTGGGGAGCGCACAATAGGTTGGGAGGGGACGCAACCAGGCAGAGGACCCAAACAAACCAAAGAAATATTCCATACCATATAACATTATGCTCAGCAATAAAAGGAAAAAGAGGGAGTTTTAGGAGGGTTAGCCATCTTTTGCTCAGGAATTGGCTGGGCATCATCCTATCCATGGGAGGTGGTGAGTGATTCCCTTTGCATCACTTGCTTTGCTTTGTTTTCTTCTTCCATTTACCCTTAGCTTTTTTTTTTTTCCTCCATGTTGACCCCCAAGTTTTCTTGCTTTTATTCTTTATTTCCTCTTCCCCTGTCCCACTGGGGGTCAGGGGGAAGTGAGCAAGTGGCTGTGTGGTGCCTAGCCACCCACTAGGGTTAACCCACAACACCTGTGTAACATCAACTATCTTCGAATAAGTAAATTTGATATTACTGGTTTGGGCTGGGATAGAGTTAAATTTCTTCATAGTAGCTTATATGGTGCTGCATTTTGAACTTGTGCTGAAAACAGTGCAGATAAACACTGGGATGTTCTTGTTACTGCTGAGCAGAGCTCACACAGCGTTAAGGCCTTTTCTGCTCCTCACACCACCCCATCAGCGAGGAGGCTGAGGGAGCACAAGAAGCTGGGAGGGGACACAGCTGGGACAGCTGACCCAAACTGGTCAAAGGGATATCCCACACCATATGATGTCAGGCTCAGCATATAAAGCTGGGGGAAGAAGGAAGGGGGGGACATTCAGAGGGATGGTGTTTGTCTTCCCAAGTAACTGTTATGCGTGATGGAGCCCTGCTTTCCTGGAGATGGCTGAACACCTGCCTGCCGATGGGCAGTAGGGAATGAATTCCTTGGTTTGCTTTGCTTGCACGTGCAGCTTTCACTTTACCTGTTAAACTGTCTTTATCTCAACCCATGAGTTTTCTCACTTTTACCCTTCTGATTCTCTCCCCCATCCCACCGGGGCAGGGAGTGCACAAGCAGCTGTGGTGGGGCTTAGTTGCCAGCTGGGGTTAAACCACGACAAACAACATTACATCCTCCATGCGTGGAACATCTAAAGAACCTGCTCAGAGAGTATTAGACTCTAACAGGTTTTAAAGCAAAGTCCCTTCAGCCCAAGAGGACAGGAGATTGAAGAGTTCCTGTTCACTCACTGGAAGGTATATCAGGACAACCGCTCGTTTCCTGGGGACAGAAGGCAGGGAAAGATATCACATGCACAGATACAACTCTGTCTCCTTCCACAGAAGGAAGCAATGTGTCCAGAACACTACAAAGATCAATCCCAGACAACTCCCCATTGTGCTGCACAATGCTTGGGCAGAAATCTCAACATTCCTCCACAGGCTGTCCGGTACTATGGCTTTCAGCATATGGTAGGGTACGCACATAAGCTGCACTATTACAGGGAGCTGTAGGGCTGTGTGAAACCGAATCCCAATGAGAACCAGTGATCTCAAGACTGAAACATTAGAAACAATCCATACCTTTGTCTTTAACTCCAGCTGTCAACGGGTGTTGGCTCTGGCCAGGTACACTGCTATTGGGATCTGCATGAGAAGACAGTGAACAACACTGCTGGACCAGAACCTCAGCTAGCTGGCAACATCCCAATTTGTGTGTTGAGGATTATGTCCATCACACGTATAATTTTCCATTGGCACCCCGCTGCTGATAATACAGATCAGCAGTAACATTTACAAATCCCAGCTAGTCACAGTTATCGGCAGCCACTTGATAGCAATTTTGCATGCAGTATTTTAAGCAACAGTAATGCAGCTCTCCCTCCCACAAGACTCGGCCATGACTTACTCTATTCCTGGAAGAAGATCAAAGGCAGGAGGGAAAAAAATATGCTCTAAGAGGGGAAATAGGAAAGCTGATTCCACATGGAAGCAGTTAGTACTTAACTAGATATTTACCGTCTGAAGGTGGCATATGCAGTGTGGGGCCCGCTATTTGTGAAGGTATCTTTGGTTCTTTACTCCTTATAAAGTCAGGATTTTTCAATAATTTTTCTCTTGGTTTGCAGTTGTGTACTGAAAGCACAGAAAGGAAAATGGGTTTTAGCTGTGATGTAAGGTAAGAACGGCTTCTACCTCTATCAAACTCAGAACCCTATTTAAACTCAGTGTTTCTTACAATTTCTCGCCTTCTTCAGTTCCTTGTTGAATTCCACATGCTTGTAGTCATATATAGCCTGGATGTTTGAAGCTGTGTTTGCATCAATGCCTCCAGTTTCCAATAGTCTTAATCCATGGGTATCCAAGAGGTTATGGGACCTCTTGCATTGAAAAAATCTACATTCCCCGTGGAGAAAGTGTCGACAAACATGAAGCCTGTTGCAATTGTCTTGCTTGCTGCAGGTACAATCCTTTCTGTTGTAAAGTTGGCAGACCTAGAAGTGGGGAGGACAGATACAATATGAAATGGAAAAGCACATTAGAATCAGTAATTTTTTTTCTTTGTTCTTTAGGCATGCAGCTTTAACAGCAGAAAAACTGTGACTAAAAAGCACATGTTCATGGTGACTTCTTTAATCCAGACAGATTTCTTGCATGGAAGAGCAGGCTTTTTCAGCTGACCCATACATTTTCAGTTTTGAAGTTCTGCAGAGTTTTTTTCCAAGAAAAAGAAAAGCCAATCCAACAAACATTCATTCACTAAGCAAAATAGTTGCATAACAACTGACTGTTCTACAGTTATTCTATTAAAAAGCAAAAAAAAACCCAAACCAAAACCATAACAAAGAACGAATATATCCATAAAAACATATATACTGTGTCAAATGAGGTATTATTTGATAAAGCTGAAAACTGCATTTGCACTTCCTATTTGTAAAGCTTATTCAGCATTGAAGACTTGGGTGTTTAAAAATGTTAAGAAGAATGCTTTGAGATTAGAGTACATATGGAGAAAAGCAACGCACTTCTTTATTCCTTGGCTCACCAAAACTAGAGATATGCAGTGAACTGGACTCAGGGAACAACTCACACACCAAAAACTCCTTCATATTGCTCACCCAGCACCACAGCAACACTTCCACTCCTGCAGCACAGAGGAGCAGCCCATAACAAGAAAGCTGCTTTGGGGACGACACACAGCTGACTGGCAGGCAGCCCCAACATCACACCAGAACTGTCACAGATCTCCTCCCAACCCCTGTTCCAAGCAACAGAGACAGTTTTCATGCTGTTTTGCAACTGAATATATATGGATTTATATATCAACTAGGGAATCGGAGATTGCTGGGATGGCACTGACTGAAAAAATCAGGCCAGTTTCAACTGCAAAACAACTCTCATTTGGTCTCATTTGCTTCTGACATCTTATTTTTGCGATCTGGACTTGTTCGGGTTTTGCCTGTTTTACTGGATTATTCTGCTTCTATCACATACCCTTCCCGCCTGCTCTGCATGATTTTAGTTTTACCAGCTATCTTGCAGATTTTACTTCTACATGTTTTCCTGCACCCTGTTTGTGCAGCTATATCACAACGTTCCATTTACTCCCTTGCCATTACAGCTATTATTTATATATTTAAGCTCAGCTGCATCACAAAATGCTATTGGTGGTGTTACAATCTGTTGGGTGCTCATGCAATGTGCTGGCAGCAGGGGTGGTCTCTGTGAGAAAAAGCCAGGGGCTGCCCCATGCTGGACACAGCTGGCTCCAACAGACCCATGGCAGGACACAGCTGAGTCCGTCAGCCAAGCTGGTGGCACCTCTGGGAAAATGTAGGGCAAACCACTAAACAGTAGTGAGGGAAGTGGTGGGGAAAGTGTGAGAAACAGCCTTGCAGACACCTAGGTGAGAAGAAGGGGAAGAGGTGCTCCAGGTGCCCAAGCAGAGATTCCCCTGCAGGGTCACCTACAGCTGGTTGCCCAGGACTGTGCCAAGATGGCTTTTGAATATCACTGAGGGGGAACTCCACAACCTCTCTGGGCAATCTGCAGCAGTGCTCAGTCACCCTCAGAGTAAAAAAGCATTTCCTGATGTTCCGAGGGAACATCCTGTGTTTCAGTTTGTGCTGATCACCTCTGGTCCCATCACTGGGCACCACTGAAAAGAGCCTGGCTCTGTCCTCTTTACACCCTCCCCTGCAGGTGTTTGTAAACAGTGATGAGATCCCCTGGGCCTTCTCTTCTCCAGCCTAAAAAGTCCCAGGTGTCTCAGCCTGTCCTCATGTGATGCCCCCTTCATCATCTTAGTGGCTCTTCACTGAACTCCTTCCAGTAGCTCCATCACTCTCTTATACTGAGAAAATAAACTTTGGAAAATTAATTTTGGACCTATTTTCATCTTACATAGTGGGCCACTGTGGAAGACATTATAACAAGGAGATAGTGGCTTCTAGCAAATCTAGGCAGTTTACCTGTAGGCCTTGGTTGCAGAGGCCCATACGTTATCATTAGTGACAACCACATAATGGGAGCACACACCATGCCATTAGCATGGACTGTCTTTAACAATACACCCTGTACACACTGTTTGTAAGAGCTTGTTCCTACAGAGATGCATAAGAGCATAATGCTGTCAGTGAACCCCAGTGTACCATCTGGAACATTCATTTTTATACGGATAGAAGACCAATAGCTTTATAGTATTTTTCTGGGAAAAAACCCAAAGATGTGAAGAACAGCAAGGGTGCTGAACCTCACCATGGATGGGAATTCTGCACAGCAAGCTATGGTCCTACCAGAGAGGTCTGTCTGATGCTGTATTGTCATGGGAACCCATGACAACAGAAGGGACACTTAAGATTTATTCTCATTATAACCTTTAGTAGTAAACAGCTATTTATCTTAAGCATCATGTGCCTTTCTTAATGAGATCCAAAAGTACCAGCACCTGCCAATGCAAAGCAATTATTCACCCACTCCAGAATTTTGGGTAAGTTACTTCATTTTTCTCTCCTTCATTTTCCCAACTTTGTCTGAGGGGAATGCAGAAATCTACATCTATCATCTACAGAGCACCCTATGTATCAAGAAAATACACAAGTGCTAGGTAATGACAAACAGTCTTGTGGGAGATGCTTTGCAACTTCAGTCACAAAAGAACTCAGATCTTACACCCCTGCCAAGGGACAGTCTTCCTCAGTTGAAAAATGTTGCTCTATTTTGGAGGCCTGATACTGCTCAAAATGTTACCTTCATCTAAAATGTACATACCTCATCTGAGTGCCTACCTAACAAGAAAAAAAAAGTTGAGGCTTTAAATATGCAGCTTGTTTTTCCATCTCTCCAAGTGGAGATAATTGCTGAAGTTCCTGAGCTGGAAACATAAACAGCCCAATATTCATCAGGTAGACAATCAAGCACAAACTAGTGGCTGTGATATAAACTCATACAGTAGTCCCTTGGTTCAAAGGATGTTTGCTGGATGTTTGTAGAAAAACTTAAAATTGCTGCTTTCTTAATAGGTCTTTCCCCAACCCAATCTTTCCCCCTTAACTTCAATATCCTCTCCTTCCTAGAAACTTTCTCCTCCAGGAATACTGCTAACCAAAACCAGAAGCAGAGAGCACAGTCTGTCATGCAACCTGAAGCTGGTTTAAGAACTACCAAAAAGAGCAGAAGACATGCCAGACACTGATTTTGGGGGCCAGAGCACAGGAATTGCATCTTCCTGCTCAAGAGAGTAGGGGGGGGAAAAAAGCAAGTAAAATACAGAATCAGGTAAAAGCTGAGAGAGTACTAAAAATACAAGCATTTTGTATGGAGCATCCATTACACAAAATATCACTTTAGGGTAGTGGAGATACCAGCCACTTAAGTTACAAAGTGAAGCTCCCAGAGATTTAAAGACACTGAATCTGATTGAGGGTGATTCTGCAGAGCATTTAGGGGAAAATGCATTAAAAGATGATGCTAGTATGCCAGATGAAATTTTGACACGGGGGTATCAGAATAAACTACCAGAACGCAACAAAGTGCTGTCTCAGCTAAACAGGGAATCCACTAATTAGCTACATCAAGAAAGCACACTGCCCCTTGCATTTATCAAGAAATGAAAGCAGGAGAGACAGAGAGAGGTGAGGGAAAGTGTAAAAAAACCCCAATTTTGGGGTGATGCTGTGTTTTTCTTACCCTGCACCTCAGTTCAGGTCACAGAAGACCAAGTTTCCTCTCGCTTGAGAGCTTAATATCTGCTATTTGTCAGCACACACACACACACAGAGTCAGCACTTCTAAGCAAGAAACAGCCAAGTTGGCTTTCACACCTCTCTCCCCAGGTCTCAAGTTTTCAGTTGTTTCTGCTATTTCACTCCATAATATGAGTTAAGGTGCTCAATTAATGATGCCTACCAGCAGTGAGGGCTGAACAGATCTACAGATAAGAGCAATACCAATCAACTAATCAATGATTACTATCTGCTCATTACTGAGATTAATTAAAGAAGAAACACTTAAGTTTTAGATGCAGCTGAGTGGGACAAGGCTATTATTAATCTTCCTTGCTCATCATCACCATGCTCCTTGAATCTGCCAGCACAAAATACTTTAAAATACTACTGGGGAAAAAAAAAAAAATATCTATTTTGTCAAAGCCCAGCATTGTCACAACAGCGAGTAAGAAAACAATGGAACTGTTATGCCAACAGATCTGTGGAGTTTATGACCTCCAAAAGACAAGGGTAACACGCAGTACTCTGGTAATTTCTTAACAAGGAACAGCTGTAGCCAGAACAGCATATTCCTGGCTTTGAAACAGCCATACCTTGAAGATAGCACTGCCCTTAGACACACATGCAGAACCAGAATGGATTGTTCAGCTAAATTTAACAAAATCAATGACTTGCATACAAACCGGACAAAGGTTGCTTTGTAGAAAATTAGTGTACAAAAATTCAGTGTGCTTTGGAAGGGGCAGATTTTACACAAAACTGACTGCAGTCATTTGGTCATTTTCTCATAGATTTTTCTCACTCCCCTATACCCTCAAGCACCAAAGCTGTGCAGGTCTGCATAGGCTGGAAAAGGAAAGGGGCCCTCACTTCCTAGTCTCCATCATCTCTTGGAGAAGAGCCAACAAATTGGTTTTGGTCAGGCCTTTTATCCTGTAAGCATGTATAATTATTGTGATCTTTCACCTTGTCTTGCTTACCTCACCATCTGTAAATCTCTGGTGAAATTGCTGACGTACTTGCTTTGCTTCTTTTGAGTAACTTTATGGCTATCTCATTGGGATAACGGGAATGGCATGCAAAAGAGGCTGTAGCCTTGTTGTCTGCTTCCTGCTGTCAAGAGGGCAGATCTTCTGCTGACAAGTCATAGATGACATGGCCTTACCAAGGTGCAAGCCTTCTGGTATTTATGTAAGCAACACACTCCTCAGTGTCTAACAGCTTTATTGCTGTTATTTTTTTTTTGTTATAAGTGCATGGCACTTTCACAACCCTTGCTCCACATGGTTTCTTCCAGTGCTTTCACACACAGTTGTTCCCAGTCATACTTCATTCAGACTAATCTTAATATTTCTGTTAC